GGGAGAAGAAATGGGGAGGGTGGGAGAAGAAGAAATTGGCAGGGGAGGGGGGAGAAGAAGAAATTGGTAGGGGAGGGGGGAGAAGAAGAAATGGGGAGGGGAGGGGGGGAGAAGAAGAAATTGGTAGGGGAGGGGGAGAAGAAGAAATTGGTAGGGGAGGGGGGAGAAGAAGAAATTGGTGGGGTGGAGAAGAAATTGACGGGGGTTAGAGTTACAGGGGAGGAAGGGGCAATGAGAGTGGGAAGGGGGAGGGGAGAAGAGAGTGACAAGGGAGGGAGAGGGGGGAGAAGAGAGTAACAAGGGAGGGGGGAGAGATTGACATCCATCACACACACATGCAATGCACCCCTTGCACACAGAAAAACACACAATGCATTACACACACAGACACACACACACACACACACACAAACAATGTAACCCTTACACACACTGCATCCCTTACACACACAGAAACACACAATGCATTCCTTACACACCCTCAATGCACCCCTTACACACACTCAATGCACCCCATACACACGCACACACTGCATCCTGTACATACACAGAAACACACCTTGCAGCCCTTACACATACAAACACAGATTCACACAATGCATTCCTTACACACATATCAGGACATCCCCTACACACTCCACCCCCTGTGAACAAACTCATTGGTGGAACATGAAGGTGGACCCTGGGACCCAGACCTTGAGCTGTGTAAAGGGCCCCCAAAAATGGAGCTGCTTCCCGTTCTCCCAGAACATTGATTTTTGTGACCACAGTTACAAACAGCCTCCAGAGAGCCTGTTCTACACCAGACCAGTGGAGCCAGACTGCAGCTAGAGCCCATCATCATCCTCATCTCGTTGTAAGTAGGCAATCTAGTATATTATTTGTGGCACTAATCTCTAATTTACCTCACATTAAAGAAACACTATTCCGTTGTTGAAAAATTTGCGCTAATTAAAAGCAGGCGAATTTAAATTAATCTGTATATTATATACAGATTGATATCTTGCACTTCTATTAAAGAATTACAATTAGAGGTACAGGATTGAGGAGGTTGGCTCAATCTAGCCCAGTCTTGGATCATCTCCAGGGTATGGTTCCATTTTGATGTTTAGTTTTTGTTCTTGATATTTTTTGTCGTTTACGATGGTTGTGAGACGACATATAATAGCATGGCCCATGCTAGGTTACTACATTTGTATATTTGTATTCATAGACCTGCTGAAAATGTGGAGAATGTGTGTAATGCATGTTCGCACTCAATAAAGTGTTGGAAAATAAACTTGTATTTAGATGCATTTTACTTTAATTACATAAGTATTTTCATAACAAACAATACATGTGCTTGGGGGGTAAGGGTTTCTTTAACTAATCTAGTGGAAGAGACTCGAGTGCTAAAATCCACGGGTTAGGGGGCGCAAATTACTTGCCTTGCCCCGGGTGCTGACAACCCATGCTACGCCACTGTGACCTTGTATATCTAGCAATATAGATTGTTTCTGCAGTACCGTTAAGTGGTCATCTTCATTTTTCTTTATAAGTACATCTTTTGAGGAAAATAAGTTATATGTTTTAGCACATTTACTCTAATATTTAACATTGGAACAATGTTGAACAAGTCTGAAGAACTTATTAATTTCGGTTTCGGTTTATTTAAACTAGTCCCACATTTGCTATTTTTTCCTCTGCATGCCCAAAGAAGTACCTTAATCTTCCGGGAGCTACACGTGTGTCCACATCCTTCCTTTGGTCTCAGTAACCCTAAGTATGTATATTGTTACAGAAACAATGACCACACACAGCTCCTTTCAGCGTGAGGAGTATAACCAAATTTCTGAAAAATTATACTATACTTCCTACACAGAGGTTTTCATGGTTATGGTTTAGCGATCGAGAAATGGCTTTTTGTTGTTGTTGCATGTGGTGAAATAATGAGTGACTGTGCAGGTTTATTTTATGGCCAAGTTGCTTGAGAAAGCAACCTTTCCACCGGTTCTGAAGACCTTCGATTGCATGCTACGCACTGTACAGAACTGCTTATTAAACACTATGCAATCAAGAGCAGCTTTAGAATTGCTACAACATATATTTCCCATGATACAGTTCTTACACCTATATTTTAAAGTAATGGCTAGAGATTGCCATAACATTTCTACTTTATGACCTATTTAAAGTGAGCTGCACCATAACTACTGAATAGATTTGACTTCTTACCAGGGGTCACTAGACTCTACTCCCAGACTCTTCTCACAGCCAGACTAGCCACTGAAGGCTAGTTAATTTGTAGAGGGTATGAGCTGTTCAATATAGACTCCAGAAGTGCCAGGACACTCCTGGCACCATAAACACTGCAGTGCACTGTAACATATAACAGTTTATAAAGGTATATAGCAGGAGAAGCATGTTTCAGCACTTCAGATGTTGTGGGCTTCATCCAACAGTTGCCTATCTATGGTGTATGGGTCATAAAGGTAATTTATATACTCAGTTGATTTAGAAACTTTTAGTAGGTTACTTGACTCCTCTTCAGCATGCCAGCATAGCCATAACTGCAGCTTTGTGGTGGTTGCAGTATTTCAACACTCAACCTCTGATCACTCTTTCTTCCCAACCTTCTCTCATACAACTTTGCCAAACTGGACAACACCCATGATGCTGACATGCTGACTTTATCTTCAGTATAGAGTGACATTTTTCATTCTACTTCCGTAGTGCCTCAGTAAGCACAAGGAGCAACAGGAACAACAGGGGAGGAGTATCTGAGATGGACAGAAGCAGGAGATACACATGTAAAAGGCTCTTGTTACACTTGCAACTGAGTGGCAGGAGCGAGAACAGAGAATGCAGTTATCTAAAAATCATGCATTTCCCAGCAATTCTGCTAGAACAAGGTATATATATATATAGACTTATATATAGACTTGTGCAAGGTGAATACATTTGTTTCAGATACAGAGAGAGCCAC